AAAGGAAAATTAGATGAATCTCTTTCATTTTGCATAACAAAACATTGTATATTTCATGTGAGACACGGCTGCATTTTTTTCGTGTTTGACAGAATGTGGGATGAGGCCTCTAAGAGGCCTATATAATCCAGGGGTTATATAGCCCTTGAGTTGGCCCGTCTCCAGCCTGGCATAGTTCAGGCAGAGAAGGTCAAGGGTGCTAAAACTTCGGGAAGGTTGGACAGGCAGGGAGTGGAAGGCAAAAAAACCAAACCACCTAGGCTAGAAATGCGGGGGTGGGGAGGGGGGGAGGAAGGCTTGGGGGGAGGGTGTTTGGCACCATTGCAGAGGTTGGGCTTGACAGGCTGCTGGGAGGTGAAGGCGCAGTGTCCCCGGAGATGGCGTGGTCTGGTTTCTAATTTTGGAAATGGCCATACCAGGATTTCCAATTTGGCAGCCAGGCTGGCAGCGAAGGGCTCTGAATAGCAGAGAGAACCATCTGGAGGCAGGTGGCCATTCAGTGTTGTGTAGGGGTATGGATGCAGATTTGGCAACAGCTAGACAGCAGGGCTTAGTTTCTAAAGCAGGGAGATGGCAGAAGGGGAGGGAAGAGAGTGGGAGAACTCAGTCCTTCTGAGGCTGCAGAGCAGGGGAAAAGCAGCAAGTCAGGGAACACTGAGGCACGGAGGTTCCAAGGCTCCCGGGTTCACCTAGCGTCTGATTGGCCGCAGGACAGTCCCAGGAACACCGCTGCAGCTCACCCAGTGGGCCCTATAGGGCTTCTAGATTGCTGGTCTGGGAGCAGGGCCCAATTCTACATGCTTCTCCTTGGAGGAGGAGTGCCTAGTCTGAGGGAAACAGAAGCCCTTCCGAGATTCTGCTGGAGGCAGGGCCCCTTAATATTTCCAGAGAAAACGCCATGCAGCTGCCATTTCTTGAGTCAGGGTCAGAAGGAAGTGGAGTGAAGTGACCCCAATTTTTCGGGGAGAAGAAGGCCAGAGAGGCAGGGATGCGTGGGCGTTGCAGGGACAGATGTTTAAACAAACTCCTCTAGCCAGAAATTGCCCTGATAGGCATTAGGGTGTGTCTCTCTGGGAGGGGACTGAAGACCCTGACCCGGAGGCATTGTGATGACTGAGCAGAGGTAAAAGAGGAGGAGACAGAGCTGCTACACCTCTAGAGCCATTTGGTGCTGCTGCAGAGGCTGCTGACCCTGGCTGGAGAGCACAGTGGAGAGCTCCAGCCTTTCCCTGGGACTGTCTCCAGGGTCCAGAATCAACCGCAACTTCTTGGGTTACCTGAGAAGCAGAGAAGGGGCAAGGCCAGTGCACCAGCAGAGGAGAGAGAACTTAGCTGGCCAAGCTGAAGAAGGGAGAGGTCATCAGGGACTGCTAGCTCATGGCAGCAGCGACCACCTGGATCCTGGCACAGTAAAAATATTTCCAGCAACCGTAAGTGACCTTGGATGAGAGTTCTCAGGGCACATCTGGAGCGATGCTGTAGGGGCTTTGGGTAATCTTGTAGAAGAGAACATTTTGGATGTTTTTCTCCTATTACACTGTGAATAGAGGACTTGCAAGTTGGGTGACCAAGCTTTTTCCAAGACGATATATTGTGTAGGTAGAGGTATCACTATTTCTCATTAACTGGGCATTACTGATCCAGAATCTAGGATTGCTGATGGTTTAAGGGCCTCAAAGTGTTTCAGACTTGGTTAAATTTAGTATTTAAATAAATGTCTAGAAAATGTAACAGTATGCCAACTAGTATGCTGCAACTCAACCCTTACTCTTCACGTGGTGATAGAAGAACAACAAAAGTCCTCCCTCCTATAGCAGACCCGACAGATTATGCAAAGGACCAAAGCATTAAATATATGAATGTGTTTGAAACAAGGGAGCAACTTGAAATATTTGACATGATGTGGCTGAGGACATGAAAATAAGGGTTAAGACTTAAAAGACTTAAAAGACATAAGATCCTGTTCTCAGAGTTCTGGGCAGGTCCTGTTCTCAGTTTTCTGAGAATGGTTTTTGAGTGATAAGTACATGAAGTTTACTGGCCCTTTATTTTTTTGCTACAGGCATCACTACACAAGAGTTGTAGGTATAATGCTAGTGGTCTGAAGTTTTTAGATCCTTAAAAAGTGAATAATAATGTAATGCAAAAGTACTACAAAAGTAGGAATTCATATGCAAGATGAAAAGCCAGAGATAGAAGAAATGGAGACAAGGGAACAGAAAATGAAATTACATGTAATTTACATGTTATTTACAGGTTATTCAACAAGGGTTTTAGTGTTTTCCTCCAAATAAAAGGCCTAATATTTATAACAATGAAAAATTAACAAATGAGTTGTTCTTTTCTTTCCACCTAAATTCCAAAAACTAAATGTTAAGTGTCTGATCACAAGTGTTAGCTTGTGGGAAGTAAGACCTGAGTTTGGTTCCCTTTAAGAAAATTTAAGACAGGAAGGGATAATGGTTAGAAAAACATGGGGAAGCCAGCTCACTGAGAGAAGAGCTTGGCGGACCACATTAACAAGGGTAGGGGTATGAACAAAATGTTCAGGGAAGCTCAGAGAGCACACCACTTAGGATTCATGAAGAATACAATGTTTGCTAACAAGCACATTATTACCTTTTTTTGCTCTCTAAACTTAAGATAATAATGGATTTGTTCATTGTTTGCCACTGTATGTTTTAGGTTTTGACAGAATTGGAAAATGATAATACAAAACAGGGTAGTAGCATGCAAGGCAGTGGCAAGTCCATTGTGCCATGAAATGGAAGGAGCTGTGATGTTTAATTTAGAAAAGAGGAATAAGATGCTGCAGTCACTAAAATATCAAAGTGGAGTGCTTGGATAGCTCCTCAGACAGAGCCTCATAGGGCTGAGTCAAGAAGATTCAAAATCTGGTCCTCATCTGCATGCATTAAGGTCAGAGAATAAATGGCTCTTCTGATCTTTACTAGCTGCTAACCTATTATCTACAATAAGTAGAACTTCCAAGTCAGCCACACTCATTGAGAAATCTGAATGGTTTCCTACAGAAAACTGAAAATGAGCACCAAAATGAGTATCATAAAGTTTCTTGGCATCTAAGGAGTTGGATGGTCATAATGGCTAATGCCTTAGCAATGCAAATATGAGTGGAAGCACACTATGCTCTACATCAGTGATAGAGCTGTTACTTATTTCTCTATCTATAAAAGTCACTTATGGCTGCAATAAACTAAAACCTATTTTTTCTTTTTTTGGCCACATGGCACGCGGGATCTTAGTTCCCCGACCAGGGATCAAACACGCGTCCCCTGCAGTGTCCTAATCACTGGACTGCCAGGGAATTCCCAACTAAAACCTATTTTAATAATCTAGTTTTCCAACAGGTATCCAGCTAGTAGGAAATCAGATCAAGAAAGGGAGTTCTTTAGGGGACTGATAATATAGCACCAAGCTTTAATCCAGGTTTATTGACCATAGAGCCATCTTTTACTTTGCCAAACGATCACATTTTTGTTAGCATTATTTACAAGCCATATTTACTCTTACTATTTACTATTATCAGTGGATAAAGTCACCAAATACTTCAAGAAAAGAATGATATATCCTAATAGTGCAAAGAGATCAAGACTAGGGGAAAGACTCTGATAATACCTTGACGAGCAGTCTGACATCCTTGTGGTGGAAGTTTATTGAACCACTCCCCAACTAGAACTCAGTCAAGTATCAAGAGTCCCCAAGTACCACTCATTTCTTAACTCCCAATTGGAAATCTACTTGAAGGATTTATTGCAGTTTGATTCCTTGAGCCTATTACATTCATTAGTGCCTAATAATGGTTGATTAGCAAAAGAAAGGGCATGAGTGCTAAGGGGTTGACAGAGCTAAAAGGCCTGGGCAAAAATTACATGTAATTTTCACCCTTTCTGTCACATATCATAAAGTTAACACAGACCCACAATGAGTACAGCAACTAATATTAACTGGTTTTTGTTCATGTTTGGAGAACGAGAAATTCTGCACTAATAATTTCCTCTCCCCACAGGCCCCAACACATCAATGCTCACTTCCACTTCTGTTTTTTTAATTCTTGGCCTAAGGCAACTTTGATTATGCGGATCCTATCTCCTTCCTGAAAATCTAGGTGGAGCTGCTTGTATTCCACGCACGTTTTTCTGTGATAAAACACGTGAATAAGATTGCCAATGTAGTATCGTGGTCACCTTTCTCTGAACTCCGCGAGGCAGTCCCCTCATCTCTTAAGACATCTGCTTAGACATAGCCCTATTTACCACCAACGTCCAGTCTCGGAAGCCTGCTCTTCTGTGCTTCACAAGCATCCTCAGCAGCCCCTCGGCAGACCCCTCCCCTCCTAAGCCTGAGATTTCAGGTTCATCTCCAACCGAAAACCACTCCACCGTGGCACTTCATTTTGTCTACCACACTGCTGTCTTTATCTTTATCCCTCTTTGGAGACTGTATACTGCTGTTTTGTTTGGGCAGTTCATATGGCTCTTGGCTCGCAACAGGAGCTTGGTACAAGTTGTACCTTGGCTTTCTAGCCTGGTACAGCTCTAAAGAAACCGTGCACAGAAACGGCAGTCGCCTCTCACCCGACGTGGTCAATCAGACCAGTTAGGAGGAGCTATTCAGTGGGGTTTTTAGTTAAGGAAAGTTTGACGCTGGGCCGAGGAGGCGAGGGGCGTGGGGGAGGAGGCGTCCTCACCAGGCAAGACTCGGCCCGGGATGCGGAGCTCGCCGGGCTAGTAGCCCAGGGCCCCGCGCAAACAGCGGCGGCTACATTCAACCCCCAGCCTGATCCGATCCGGCCCGGCCCGGAAGTGCCCGGCGCCGGAGGGAGGAAGGGAGGGAGGAAGGGCCTTGCGAGCAGACGCTGCCGCGCGCACGCGCCGTCGCGGGCTGGGGGCTGGAGTCGCAACTCGGAAGCCGGAGCCCAGACGGGCCCGGGGCGGGGGGGCGGGAGCCTGCGCGGGGGCGGGAGCGCCGGAGACGGCCGCCCCTGGCGGCGGGTTTGTTTATCCCGGGGAAGAAGTTTAGGAGCGAGAGATAGGGAAGGAGGGCGGGCCGGGGAGGAGGGATGCGGTTCGGCGGAGGCGGCCGCCACAGGGACTCGCCGCCATCACCTCAGCCGCCTCAGCCGGAGAGGAGCCGCCGCCGGGGCTGCCCGCCGCAGCCCCGCACGTCCGGGTAGGTGCCCCTCCCCCTCCGGGGTCCCGGCCGCAGCCTTGGTCGCTGGCTGCCCCCTCTTTCCTGGGACTCACCTGCACTGAAACCCAGCGACCTCCTCCTCTCCCATTTCGGCGCCCCCATCCCTCTCGGTCTGGGACCCCCGCTCCTGAGGCGTGCCTTCCGCCCCCGCCCTTCAGCCCCACCTCCGCCCCCCGGACCTCCCTAACCTCGCGCGTCTCTACTTCCCCTGGGAATTACCCCTCCCCCATTGATCTCCCAGCTTCCGTCTACCAGGATCCCCCCGACTTTCCTCCACAAGCCTTGCGCCTTTTTTCTTTTCCATTCTCCCCCCTTTGTACCTGTAGACCTCCTCGCCCGCACCTTGATACCTTGTCCCTTGGCAGTACTGCCCAAAGCGAGAAACTGCAGGCCACCCCCGCGTTCACGTCCATCCCTCCTTATCCCAAACGTATACGCCTGAAACAGTCCCCACTAGCCCATTTTAGGGTGAATTCTCAGCTCTCCAGCCAGGCCACTCGGTGCCTTCACCCCAGTGGTCATGCCCTCAACCTGCCTACCTCCAGGCACACATTGCCCTCTCATCCGTTCTCTCTCCCCAGGTACATCAAGCTCACTCTGCAGTTCAGGGTCCAAGTCCTGACTTACCCCTTTCTGCTCCCTTCTGCTGCCCTTTCCCCTTACAGTTCTTCTTGAATTGATGCATTTGTGTACTGAATCACAGAAATGGGAGGAGATGGGTGGGATTTCCTCTCTCAAAGCAGTAGATCCAGTAGAAATAGGATTCACCTTCTGCTTAGCCCAACTTTTGGCATCTTTCTCTGTGAATAGTGCCATTCAGCCATACTTTTGAGGCTTCTGACGATTTGTCTGTATTTGAATACTCCTGGGCCTAGATTGTTTTATTATAGTACTCATCTTCCCAGTTTTTCCATATAGCTGAACCTCCTGTTTCTTAGACTGGAAACTTAAGTAATAAAAGGTTCATACCTTGGAAAATTACATTTTTCCTGCCATAATGGGAAAGGTGGAATATTTCAAATTATCCTTCTATTATTCTTGAGAGAAATGGTGCCTAGTGGTTAAGAGCTCAGACTCTGTAGCTGAACTGCCAGGATCTAAATCCCTGCCTTTCTGTCTACCAGGTCTGGCCTTGGGCAAGTTATTTAATCACAGTATTCTTACAGCTGTAGAATAGGGTTAGTGATGTACTTCATAAGATGCTGGTGATAATTGCATAACTTAATGCAGGTAAAATACAACAGTGCCTGGTAAGAGTTCAATAAATGTTCTTTATCATCATCTCTTAGCTTGACTTGGTTTGGCTATTGGTAGGATAATTTTGAGAGAGGAAGGGGGAATGGAAAACTGTCTTTTTGCTCTTTTTTATTTAACACCTTTTTTGAGGTAGCTGTGATTCATATTTTGTTACTCTATAAATTAGTTCCTTCTGGTGTGAAAAGTACAGTTTTAGCTCCCTATTTTCAGGTGAGTTACCAGGCTACATGCAGTGCCATTTTCAGGTACCTGTTTGGAAATTTTAAATTTTTATCTTTGTTTTGGGAATAACTGAAGTTGAATTATGTAGCAGATTTATCATAGGGAAAAATGAGGATTTTTGCCAATGAGAATTTTAGTACTACAATTAAATACTCAAACCTGGTTGGATACTTCACACCTACCTGTCCCTTATGTTGAATTGCTACTCAGGATAGAGCTTTGGCTTCATTCCAAAGACTGGTGGCTTTTCTCTTACTAACATGTTATGTTTTATTCACATGACCATGCCTTGATGTGTACAAAAGTTTACTCTTTAAAACCCTGACAATTTCTGTCATATTTGCTTACCTCCTGTGCATTATTATTTTCTTGATACATTTTTTAAACACCTCACAAAAAAAAATCCAAATAGGTACTGTTAACTCAATGTTGTTGTAAGTAGTAAAAGTTTGAAATCACAATTTGCTGTCCCAATTACACATAAAAATGTGTGCATATGGAACTATCAAAGTAAAGTTGTTTGCCTGTGTATAGCTTAAAATATTTTTTGTGTGTCACCAATGGAATGTTCATTAAACTTTGGGTAACACTGCCTTTGCTTATGCTATTCCCTGGCCTAGAATAACCTTTGCTCTTTCCCCTGCATATTCAAGTTCTACTTATCTTTCACCTCTTACTATTTTCATAGTTCTTGCCAACATTGGTTTCTATTCCTTGGCTTTCCTACTGTCTGTATTCTGCATTTGGCTTTGAATAATGCAGACTGCCCCAGTTCAAGAAAAATGACTCCCATAGAATCATACTTTTAAAGTTTGTAGAAACTTTGAAGGGGTGGAATAGAATTGATAATTAGTATCTGCTCTGTGCTGAGCACTATTCCTTTGGTTTTGTAAATATTCATTCTTTCCAAAAATATTTAATGAGCACCTACTTCATGCCAGGCATTGGGCATACACAAGAGCAGCCCTTCCCAACTGGGGTTTCAGTAAATATTAAGCCCTAATGTTCTAAAGTATCCAAGGTATGTAATAACTACTCTCCTGTGCACCTAAAATGATCGTATGTCCCATCCTTGAGAGAGAGAACTGAGGAAATAGTTACTTAACTCAGTTTCTGTAGGGTTTAAGTCTTTGAGAAAAGCTCCACCAGAGAATAATAGCACAGACTCTGCTTTTTTTGTAATTTATATCAGTGTGGCACTGGCAGACAATAAGCAAGTAAGAAGATAAAATTATCTTATAAGAGCACTGATAACGTTAAAAACAATTATAACCGCTAATACTTATAAAGCACTATGCCAGCCACTCTTTCAAATGATTTATATATATTACCTTGTTTAACCTCTCAACAATCCATTGAAGAAGGCTTTATTATATCTCCATTTCACAAATGAGGAACCTGAGAATCAGATTACTTCCACAAAATCACACAGCTAAGTAAGCAATGGAGCCAGACAGTATGGTTGTAGAGACTGCTACCCTTCGTTGCCTCTCAGACCTTCTAATCTTCCAATTTTTTGTTGGTTACTTTAGACAAGATTCTTCACCTTTCTGAAAAATCTTTTTTTTTTTTTTTAAATCTCATCAATGAGATTTCCCTGTCTTTTAGGTTGTTTAGGGGAGTAAAGAAGATTTAACTTTGTAAAGCACCTGGTATACAGATGTATCCCAAGTCTTATATATGACTAGATATCGCAGGCATTTGCATTTCGGTGGTCCTAGTCACCATTTTGTTTCCTGACTTAGGTTTATTCACTTAGCAAAAGTTTATTGAACATCTGATCTGTGCCAGGCACTTGCTAAGCTGTGGTGACACACGTTATGGAAAGAGTGTACCTGTATTCATGATGGCAAAACTCTGTTGGGGAATAGAGAAACTAAGCAAATTATTACAAAAATAATATTACAGTTACGATAACTTCCACAAAAGAAAATTATTGTAAACAACAAAAGCTCACTAATGTATCAGAGAACGTTTGTCTGAAGAAATGACTTTCAGGCCGAAGTCTGAAGGATGAACTGGAGTTACCCAAGCGATGCTGGCGATTTCAGCTTTCTAGGACTGAAAAGTCCTGTGGAGACTGGACCTTAGCACATGAGGCTGGGTGATATGAAATGAGACAGGAGCAGATCACAGTGGTCAATTATTGCTAAGCTCTTTGTACTTAATCCTAAGAGCAGTGGGAAGCCACTGGACAATGTTAAACAGCTGAGTAAGTTACTTAAATTTTTGCTTTAAAAACATCACTTGGCTGCTCTGTGGAGGACAGATTGGAGAGGCAAGTGTAAAAGCAGGGAGACAAGTTAGGCCAGGGCTCCTCAAACTTAACCGTGGCGAAGGACATGTTTTGTTTTGTTTTACTTTCTAGTTTGTGCTGGTACTTTAGTAATACACAGTAAAATGGATGTTGTGGTAGTGTCTGTCAAATTGCTATAAAAATTTCTAAATGCTGCCTCTCAGTTTCTGTATTTACCTTGTCTCACGCCAATAACAGTAATTCATGGGTCAGTATTGGTCCACAGCTCACACTTTGAGTAGAATTGAATTCACCTATTATAGTCATTTAGGCAAGAGATGATAGAATCTCGGTCCTGACTGGTGGTGATAGAGATAAAGCAGCTGGATTTGACAAATATTTGGGAAGTAAAGTTTACGATTTGGTGATGGATTTGATTTGAGGGTCTACGGAGAGGAGAAGGCCGATTTCCAGGGTTAGTGGTTCTTGTGCTTAACCTGGGGGAATATTGGGAGAGGAGCAGTTTTTTGTTAGTTTATGGAAACGGGGGAGTATTGATCATAATTCAGTTGGGAATAATCAGTACATAGCTAATAATGGATGTTTCAGTATGGAAGGTGGGGGATGAGATTGCCTAAGGAGAGAGTATAGAGAGACAAGATAAAGGGATGTGGTCCCCTATGATTCTTCAACATTGAACGTTGAGGAAAAGAAGTGGAGCAAAGGAGACTGAGAAGGTATAGCCAGAGGTTGGAGGAAAATTTCCTTACCGTCACTGAAGTCAAGGCAATAGACCAAAAAAGGAGGGTGTGGCTAATCTGCTATGTTGATTGAAGCTGAGAAATCAATTAAGTTGGGAACTAAAGAGTACACATTGCATTTAGTGACAGGGAGAAAATTTTATGTCTCAGTCGTCAGTCCATCCATAAACTATTTGATGATTTTTGTTTTAATCTGCCAAAGCCACAATTCTAAATTTAGGGTAGAATTTTATCTGTAACATGGACCATGTCTTCCTTCCTGAGCTCAGACCCATGTTTCTATTTATCACCATCTGGGTGTTCTATAAGCATCTCAGACTCTACAACTTGTTCATTCAGAACCTACTCAAATAGAATATGTTTTTTAAGTACTGTTTATCAGGCAGTAACTATTAGACTTTTAGGAATGCAATTAGACCTCAGAGTCTAGGGGCAATGGACAATTAAATATTGTTCAGTGTGATTAGCGCTGTCATAGCAGTTTATTCAGGTTGCATTGTAAG